TGTGGCTGGCGCCTTAGCCGGTTGAGCTATAGGCGCCGAGCCTGTTTTGTTTTATTTTTTAAAACAGTCTCAAGCTGTCTCCCTGGGTATAGTGCTGTGGCGTCACAGCTCACAGCAACCTCAGACTCTTGGGCTTAAGTGATTATTTTGCCTCTGCCTCCTAAGTAGCTGGGACTATAGGCACCAGCCACAATGCCTGGCAATTTTTTTTGTTGCAGTTGTTTTGTCAGGTCTGGACAGGGTTCGAACCCACCAGCCCTGGTGTATGTGGCTGGCACCCTACTCACTGAGCTATGGGTGCTGCCATTGGTTTTTCTTTTTTATAATTATGGGTGTTCTTGAATTTTAGTTTAGGCTTGGTGAAGCCTATTTGTAGAGCTGGAGAAATATTCTTATGTAGAACCTTTAGGAGTTAATTGAAAAACAGATTTCAAAACAATTTGAAGTGACAAATAGGCACCAAAAAATGAAATGGGAAGTAATAAAAAAGTTAACCAATGTTGAAATCGTGTCACCTATAGTAATTTTTCCCTGTTGCTTTTTATATTAGAATATCTAGGGAGGGTGTATATATAATTTGAAAAGTTGTCTTGAGTGTTATAAATATTTGGGGAATAGAAAGCCTTTTTATAATGCAAACTGCATAAAAAAAGGCATAACTGAATTTTCTTGGCTAACAGGAAAATGCAGAAGCTGAGAGTCTGCTTCTCTGTAGTGGACAATAGAATGCCTAGGTCAAACCTAGTATCTCAAAAAATAAAAATAAAAACAATATATGTGTGTGTGTATATATACAAATACATATATAAAAAGGTAAATGAAGATAGCATTTAAAGCTGTGGAATCGGCTGGTTAAAATGGTAAAAATAGGACCAGATGACTTATTTGACTTCAAACAAAGGAGTTTGGGTCAGCTGGGGAGGAAAGTAGAAAAGCCCAGAAAGAAGTTTCTTCTTCTCTGGATGCTAGCCAGGGCCACCATGTATAGTCAGTATTCTAGGCTAGTCTTCTGTAGTGTGGTAGCCCTGAAGTTGGTCCCTAGTAGTTTTTTGTTTTTTTTCTTTTTGTGTGTGTGGGGGGAGACAGTCTCATTTTGTTGCCCTCAGTAGAGTGCCGCAGCATCATAGCCCACAGAAGCCTCAAACTCTTAGGCTCAAGTGATTCTCTTGCCTCAGTCTCCTGAGTAGCTAGGACTACAAATGCCCACCACAATGCCTGCCTTTTTTTTTTTTTTTTAAGAGACAGAGTCTCACTTTGTCGCCCTCAGTAGAGTGTTGTGACATCACAGCTCACAGCAACCTCCAGCTCTTGTACTTAGGTGATTCTCTTGCCTCAGCCTCCCGAATAGCTGGGACTATAGGCGCCCGCCGCAACACCCGACTATTTTTTTGTTGCAGTTTGGCCAGGGCCAGGTTTGAACCCACCACCCTCAGTATATGGGGCCGGTGCCCTACTCACTGAGCCATAGGCGCTGCCCAATGCCTGGCTATTTTTAAAAACGAAGTCTCTCTCTGGCTGAGACTGGTCTTGAACTTGTGAGCTCAGGCAATCCACCTACCTCAGCCTCCCAGAATGCTAGCATATAGGCATGAGCCACTGCGCCCGGCTAATGCCTAATAGTTGAATAATTGGAGAGGTCAACATTTGGTATATAGTAGGATGTGACTATAACTTAGATACATTTGAGAAACAATTTGCTTACATAATATAATGCATAAAGTTATTTTTATCTATTTTTAATATTTTTAACTCTAAAGGCTAAGTTGCCTGTTCTATATCCTAATTTTTACTAAGGTATTTCATATAAATTATAGGTAAATTTTATATTAGAAGTAGCATTTCTGGCCAGAGACAGTAGCTTATACCTATATTCCTAGCGCTATGGGGGGCTAAGGTGGGAAGATCACTTGAGATCAGGAGCTTAAGACCAACTTAAGCAACATAATGAGACCCCCATCTCTACATAAAATAGAAGATTTAGTGGGGGCATGGGAGCATGTGCCTAGCTACTTGTAAGACCGAAGCAGGAGAATTGAGCCCAGGAGTTTAAGATTGTGGTGAGCTATGATGATTTATTGTAGCTGGAGCAACAGAATGAGACCATATCAAAAAAAAGGGGAGAGAGTTTATTTTCTGTGAATGTTTGACAAATACTTTGTCATTATAAGTATACATTTTCAAAACTATTCTGTTGATGTTCTTTAATTGATAATTTCAGATTTTTGATCACCATACTGAAGGGGATATAGATAAAAATGCTAACAGTATATTGATAAAAAGCCTGAGCAGGACTCCATCTAGTTGCAGCAGCTCTTTGGATTCAATCAAGGCTGATGGGACTTCTCTGGACTTCAGCAGTAAGATCTTCATGAAAGTTAAATAATAATAGCCATCTGCTTACTTGACTAATAATAACTGTGTTTTATAGTTTAAGATATTTGAATGTTGTATATGCCTTTTTGAAGTTATGAAAAGTTGATAAATTAATATTTAGTTATTTTTTTAAATTCTTAGTTATTTTAATGAATTGAGAAGTGACATATATACTATAGGCTAGAGTAATTTTTTCCAGGGGTTTATAATTAGTGGAGAAACACTGAATGGAGTCTTAATACTGTAATATAGTTTGCCCTGCTACATAAGTGTCTTACTTGAAAGAGACCAGTTGTTAGCTTCACAATCATGAACCATACGAAAATTTGAAAGATGACTAAAATGAAGTTTACAGTTTAGATGGGACGCAGTTGCTCATGCCTATAATCCTAGCACTCTGGGAGGCCCAGGTGGGAGGATTGCTTGAGATCAGGAGTTTTAGACCAGGCTGAGCAAGAACCAGATCCTATCTCTACTAAAAACAGAAAAATTAGCCAGGCATTGTGGTGGACATCTGTAATGCCAGCTACCTGGGAGTTGGATTTTCAGTGATCTATGATGACACTACATTTTACTTGGAATGACAGACTGAGACTCTTGTCTCAAAAAAAAAAAAAAAAAA